TATAATGTAACAACTAGTCCACCATATTTTTTTTCCATTAAAATGTAAGCTTAATTAAAAAAAAAGTCCAATGGTATTTGAGCGTATGAGTGAAATAAAAAAGGTCAGAATGAAGGCTGTAAATGCCAGCTTAAAATGTGCTTGTTGATTCATAACCTCTTAGTCATCTTAGGATTAAATCAAGATAAAACTGAATATAAATACAATATGATACACAATCCAGACTATCTCGTGGAACCTTTTTATTTGGAAACCTAAGCTAAATTAAGTACCAAAAAGATTGAAAGGGTTTTGAGATTGATTTTCTTTAATAAAACTATTTTGTAAACAATACAGATTAGATAAATCCTAATGACTATATATTTTTTGGGCTTTTAATAAAATGAGAAATGAAAATATTAATTTGGATTTTAAGGAATTCAATGATGATATGCTTTTTGGAAATGAACCATTGACTATTTTAACTTGTTCAATAATATGAGAGTAACTTAAGTGATTAGAATTAGTTTAGAAAAGTTATTCTTTTTAAATTAATACTCAACTAGAATATTAATTATTTGTTAAAATCACTTCAAACATAATCTTTGCACAACATGCATAAAAATCATATTAACAAATTAACAAAGGCATAAACATAAATATATTTATAAACCAAGTATTCAAACTTATAATTACCAATCAAAATCTCAAGCAAATCCAATCCAAACAAAGAATTACAACTAGTAATTCCTAGTTCTAAACCAAATATAACAAACTTCAAACCAAAAATCATCAATTAAATAGTTTGAACTAAGAATTAGAATTGAACTCCTTTTTGTAGCTCCAAAAGCCCAAGCCATTATATTCAATCCCAAAGAACACAGTGAAATTCAGCCACTCATTGCTTTGAATCCACTCATAACGAGCTTTAAAGATTCAGTAGCCATGAAGAAAGCTTGAGAGGTCTCTTATGGAATATTTCCACCAGCGAACCAGAGGAACAGTGAAGCCGACGGTGTGGTGAGGAGAGATGCAGGTGGCGTCGTGATATGAAAGAATGGAAGAGATTAAAAGTCGCCAATGTGAAGGGGAGATGGAGTCGAAAAATGAAGATTCCCTGGTTCCTCCATGAAGTCTGTCCTTGGCCGAAAAAGAAAGATCAAATTTGTGTGTAATTGGCGGCACACCCCCGCTGGCTTCCTCGTCCCATTTTTTATCTAAATTGCCCTAGCCTTTCTAATGATTGAGACGGTGTGCATTGGGCTTGAGATCATGACCTTGTTCTTTTTTTCAGCACTCAAATTCTATTTGGGCCTACAAAATTATTTAACAACAGGTAATATCACAAAGCCCAAAATAAATGATTTAAACCAACAAGAGTTAGTCCAATTGGTAAAGTGTCAGCTCATAATCCATAAGGTTGTGAGTTTAAATCCTATTGCTGATGTGAATACCTTGTTGGTGGATGATCTGTAAGTACTTTTGTAAACACTCTCTGAGCTTTGAGGCATGTCCTGGTCCATCCTAGTGAGCCCTGAGACCCAACCACCTAAAAACTGTGTAACAAAAAAAAAAAGATTTAAGAATAAACATAAAGATATGACAAAATTACCTCTTTTGCTCTATTTTAATAAAATCAATCTCCAATTTAAATTAATCATAACAACTGCAATTTAGCTCATTTAGTTAATAAAAAACCCTTAAAAGATATAAAATATCATAGTAAAAATATAGGTTTATCACCTGTCGTCTCAACAAAAGAAACCAAGGTTTCACAACTAATAAATATATATATAAATATATATATATATATATATATAAGCGCATATATATATATATATATATATATATTCAACATTCGCATATGCACAGTGGATGGCGTTGCAGGTATTTTAAACAAAGTCTCTTTTAGGCGTTATATCAAACACCTGATAGACGTGCCAAAGGGTACGTATGACCGGCACTTGCAATGCAATGTGATGAGATTGTCGATTGAGACACGATCTGAGCACTGTTTTGATTTCGGAATGCCCAGATTAGACGCTATTGCAGCAGCAACTTGGAGGTGTCCGTGGCTATGGCGATGACGATGGAAGTGGCTCACCTGAGACAGCATTCAACAGTCCGTCTTGTCTCAACACGTGGAATTTAAAACTTCTTTGATTCAGTGTGGATCATAATGAGCTCGTTACATCGCTCATGTCAGACGCTAGGACACGCTAAGCTCTCTCTATTTGAGGAAATTCATATGGGCCTTGCCACGCACTTTTGGGCTGGCCCAATCATACTTCGAGACTGGATGGCGTTAAATCTATCAAGACAGCTAGCGGTGAACATGAGTATTGATTGGAGTTTGCTATGGGTGTTGCTGTTTGGTTATATGGAATTGGAGAAACAAGTCTTGCTTTGACCCCAATTTCATAAAGCCAATTAATCCCGCTGCCGCTGTTAACTGTATATGGAAGTCCTATACTGTCTCCGAGGACAAATTGGTAACTCTGAACCAATCTGATTTGAATCAACCCACCCGATGGCAACTCCCACCTAATGATTGGGTGAAAGTTAACGTAGACGGGCTGTGTCTCACTCCAGAAATGTGGCAGGATGCGGAGGTGTAATTAGAGACTATAGAGGCCAATGGATTGTGGGATTTCACCAAACAATCGGAAGCTGTAGCGTGTTTGAAGCAAAGGAGTGGGCTATGTTTAAAGGCATCAAGTTAGCTTGGGACTCTGGCTTCAAGAAGGTTTTGTTAGAATCTGACTGCAAAACCTTAATTGATATGTTATCGAGTCCTAATGTCCATAACACGTGCAGTCTGATATTCTTGGAGATTCGTCGTTTGATGGGTCTAAATTGGGAGATTGTCCTCAACCATATTCCTAGGCTCCATAACCAGCTTGCTGATGCGCTTGCTAAGGAAGGTCTTTCTACTTCCTCTATGTTGACCAGCTGCCTGACTCATCTACGGGCATTGTGCGATAAAGACGTGTTGGGATCTATTCCCCTTGTAGTTTAGTTTTCCCTTTGGCCTTTGTGCCTCGTTTGTATCAAAAAAAAAAAACAAGAACGTATCATATTATTAGAATTGGGTCTAACGGAAGGGACTAGTCCCTCACAACATGACGAATTAAGGTTTAAATTTCTATTAAGGGGAAGTGCTCACATTTAATGCTCAACAATGCCTCGAATAGAATTGTCTCCAATGGGAGGATACCTATGTTTTAGCCAAAAAAAAAAAAGACCTCTCACATTGTAGGATCTCATAGAAGAGACTAGTCTCTATAATGTAGTGAACTAAAATTTAAATATCCACTGAAAGAGGTACACATTTAGTACTCAACAGTATTTTAAATAAAATTTTCACTTTTGACACGTGACTTTTATTAGGGAGTCATCCGTAAATACATGCACAAGCTTTCTTCAAATTGTGGATAGCGATGGGGAAAATGTATTTTAGGGACGACAGGATATGTGAATTCAACATTTCTGTTTTCTGACAATGACAAATACCAATCAACTCGTACGCAACACTCTTCCCTGGACCAATCAATGCATGGCTCCAGATCAGAAGATTTGCTGCCGGCCAACAAGTTTCTGGGCCCAATCTTAGGCCCCAAAGAGAAGCCCCTGCAGGAGTGCGTAAGCCACGAAGAGAAGGACCTATACATGTATATGTGTGTGTGTTTACCTGTTTACGAGCCAAAAATTTCCAATTAGCTGATCCTATTCAAGCTATCTGATTATGACTAACGCGACTTGCTTTTTTAACCTTTTTATACAATGCACGGTTCCCTTCCAGTTTTGATAGAATTAGATGATAAGATTGGGATTCTGGGGTGGGGAGTGATTGCGGAAGAGTATGAAATACCAATAAACTATGCAGTTCGTAGATATCCCCTAATGCTGATAGCCACGTTCTTTGTCCGATCATGATTGGAAAGCTAGGCTGCCGGGTTTACTTGCCGTAACAACGTTTACTACCTCGGCTGACCAGTGAACGCCCATCCCCTTGTTCGTGTGTGCCACAGTTTCGCATAATTTGACCTCATTTTCCAACCCCTTTGGGACTCATGGCTTATTTTGATCCTTGATCCATGATCGATGAGCTTTGTATATAAACATGTTTACGTAGGTTTAGATAAAATGCTCCTCATATATAATTATCTCATACTTCATAAAATGGTTCAAAAGCTATTTACAAGGCATGTCAATCAAACCTTCAAACAAACAAACACAACACATTGTGCGGATAACCAAATGCTCTTACAGGAGGTGGGTATACCACAAGGGCCCCAAATTGTCACACTCACCTACATGTGCATGTGCACCATCCCCGAAAGGGAAAGGTTGCTCCACCAGCTGGCAGATTGATTAATTTTCACAAGTATCGTACATTGTACCGAAACAGTTAATAATATTATTGACGACGACGTTGAGAATAGATTTCAATTTCAATTTGATTTTTACATTCTTTTATAATATATAAAGAAAGCCAGAAAAGATAGGTAATCTATTGTGAAAGAAATTAGTTTGTGTTTCCTTGCTGTCTTTTCTTAATATTACTTCTATGTCAATATATAAATATATAAACCACATTAGCTCAGTTATCCACGATATGTTCTGCTCAAAGAGTAATCTACACTGTGAATTGTGTCTGATCCAGAACTGCAAAAATCTTCTCTCGCAGTAAAACTACTTGTCTTGAAAACTATTGCATCCCTCACATCAAACCATCATAAATAACACGACGATCAAAGATCCCTCTCCTATATATATGTGCACGACTCTTCATTCTACACATCTACTGAAACAGGGGAAGGTATAAGAGAATCAGATTCACACACAGAGATTCAGTGTATTTGAAAATAATTCGCTTTTAGAGAAGGATCGGAGAGCCAATCCAGGCTCTGAAATGAACTGTATGCCGTTTGAAGTTCTGTTTCTCGGGAGCGAAAAGTTGAAGAGATCAAGTGGGAAAAGGAGCGATAATTCTTTTCTTCCCAAAATCACATATTATCTCGCATCTGTTTTGGATACTTCGGTATTTTTTTAAAACGGATCTTGGAATCTTATTCTATTGTTCATGTATAAGGTGATTTCAGCATAAGGTAAAAGGATTAAGACAAAATCCCTCGAGCAAGTTCTGTATCTCTGTTTTCCATGACACAGCCAAAATTTTATCTTGAAATTTTAAGATGCTGGTTTTTTTGTGCATCAGAAAGGACATCATGACAGGTAGAATTTTGAAGGAAACGAATTCAGCGTCAGGCATTGATAAGCAACCAGAAACACAAGCACGGACGATGAAGGCAGAAACAGTACAAGTAAAATGCTATTGCTGCGAATTGATGGAGGAGGGGACAGTGTCGTACGTTGGTCGTGTACGAGAGAAATACCAAGGTCGCTGGATTTGCGGGCTCTGTGCAGAGGCAGTGAAGGACGAGAAACAGAGGTCGGAGAGAGACATTACTACGGACGAAGCAATGAAGAGTCACAAGAAGTTCCGGCAACAGTTCACAGCAACGAGCCCTCCCAACAATCCCACCGAGGATTTGATTAAGGCGATGAAGCAGCTGATGTTGCGGAGTTTGGAAAGTCCTAGGAACGAAGGGATGACGTGTCGGCCACTGGGCAGATCTTCGAGCTGCTTCTCTACCATGACAGGGATGCAGAAACAGAGCGACCCCGGAGAAGGTCATGGCAGAGTAATTGATAACGCTACCTGATCAATCACAAGCAGCTTATTGGAATCACATTGGCTTTGGGGCTGTTGAACACAGCACCAAATCAGATTCTGGTCGTGTCTTCATTGAAGTCGTGTCTTAACGCTAGCATTAGCATATGGGTGTTCGTATATAATTCTAATGATGTTGAATGATGTGCTGGCCAGCTCCTTAGATCTTAATGTTGGCAGACTCCTCAGCTTCAATAATTGATCCTTGTTCCTCTTTTAAACTCATTGACTTGTTCGAGAGTTAGTGGTTAATGTTATTGTTTGTGGAAGCCAAAGCCGTAGATGTGGTCAAATGGTTGCCTGTAATAGCAGAGCTGATAACTGAAGTTGTGTGCATATGGTGGTTCTGTAGGAATTGATGTGCCTGAGGAGATATAGATGGGGTTGATAACGGTGATTTCAGAAAAGAGAGAGCCTTGGGGGGACGGGGAATACGAGAGTGAGAAGGAATATCTGTACGATACGTAGTTATGAAGAACGGGTGCGAGTATTGATGTCTATGATGATGATGTCTCGGAAAGAGACAAATTTTGGGAGCCCCGCCACCAACCATCCAATAATTGGAAAGTGCTACGTGGGCATGCACACACCGAGGATCTTATCCCATTATTGGTGGAGTTCACTAACTATAATCCCGATTATGATTATAATTATATTAGCTTTGTGGGCTCCTGAACTGGGCTTTGGGCCAATGAGCTTATGGGCCAAACCAGTTCCGTCCCTGCCCGGGGCAAATCCATATTGCAGATGATCTATCCGGCATGACTTAACAGTGACCATTTTCTTGTCTTTGGTACTCCCTCCTGTTCAAAATATAAGTTAAACTTTGTTATAGAGGCTTAAGGCCTGTTTGGTTCAGTTGCATATATCCTCTACCATGCAATGTAATAAGATGTAATACAATTTTTATTACCATCAGAATGTTTGGTATGACATTGGATATGTGTAAAAGAAAAATTAATTTTTATGATAAATTAAAAATGTTTACAAATAAAAAGACCAAAATATCCTCATCCAACAAAAAAAAAATGTTTGCCTTGTACTTTTGTATTTCTTCAACAGCAACAGATAAAATGAAAATGGAAACAAGCCATGACATTGATTTCAATATACGATAAAAATTCATGAATCATAAGTCTAACCACAAATTATACAGATTTGGAACCAGTTTTTTGGAACTAACTAACTAAAACATAGAATGACAAATCAAAACTAACAATAACAAATCTGGAATTAATTTTTTGGGTTTTTGGGAAAATCAAAACTATTGGTCCTTCTCTTGTACATTATTTTTCAATTACTTTGTTTTGAGATCAAATGTCTGAGGTGAAAGCTATGAAGTGCGACTGTGAGAAGGAATCATGATTGGGAAATAAAGTTTTGCCAATATTGAAGGAATAGGCTTCGTCGACGTTGAAGAAGATGGTGGAGGTAAAGGAAGGAGGTGGTGGGGCATTGAAGATGACGCAGGTGACAATGGAAGTGAGTGGGACAGAGGCTTCAGAAGAAGTCAAGAGACAGAAGATGAGGGGGAGGGATTGAGGGTATTTTGTGTCTTTTTACATTGGATATGATGGGCAAATAAGACTTTTCAATACATGTAATGGGGTGATAACGAGTATTCATAAGGGGGGAGGTGTGAATGGATATTACCAAATTTTTGGTAATCATCATTACAATGGTAACCATGGTTTTATTACCACACTAAAAAGAAACCAAACATCATTCTCTTGGTAATGCAATCCCTATTACTATCGCAGGCCTGTAATGGGACTGAACAAAACAGGCTCTTAGTTTTTTTATAAGATAACATTCACTTTTGTCTAAGCATTAATGAGTTTTTTTTTTAATTTTATTCCCATACATTCTCTTTCCTTTTGGTTCATTTATTGCATTTTTACTTATTCTCTTCATTAATAAAGGCATATTGAAAAAAATACGTGGCTTATATATTTATTGTTTCAAACTGATTTTAACTAATTTTTTTTATAAACGTAGATAGATAAAATTTAGGTTATATTTTGAATTGGAGGGAGTATAATTCATACACTGTTCCCCTGCCTCTCCAAACTCAGTAACTCACTGATTGGGGGGTGTTTGGATGAAACCAAACCTTGGTTTAGATAATAGTTTCTGGAAAATAGATTATAGTGAGAATAGATTTTATGAAAAAATAATTCTGATAAAGTGAGAGTGTTTGGATAGTTGTTATTAGAAGTATTTTTTATACGTGCAATTACTAAAAAAAGCATTAGTTAATATAATAATTACATAGAAGATAGATTTTATAATAAATTTGAATTTGAAGAAATAAATTTGTTGATAATATATTTTTTACCAACATAATTAATAATATATAAGAAATATAATTAATAAATAATTAATATGTGTATATATATTTTAAAACATAATATTAAATATGTTTATAGAAAAAAAAATTTCGCTAGCAGAAAAATATTTATTTTCTTTAAAGATCTTAAACATGAAATCCCATAATATTTTTTCACAACTAGTTTTTGTAACAACATACTACCTTCGATCTTTAATATAATTAATCAATTAATTGTTACTACATGTGTGTGTATATATATATTAATTGTTACTACATGTATAGCGAAGGACCGAAGTGGAATGAAGAGTGAGGCATAAATTATTGGGGGCTGCTTTGTTATATGCAGTTGGGCCCACACCAATGGCTGGAAAATTTGAACCAGAAACAACTTCAAACCACTGCCATCAAAACTATGGTTTCGAGTTCAAAACCATAATTTTATTCCAAACCATGGTTTCAAATTTCTTTCTCCTGCTTGGTTGACTTCTTTCCCAAACTATGATTTGGGGAGAAATCCAGACAGGCTCTAAATTCAGAAATGCTTTCTGTGCAAATGACCAGAGGAAAAGAAAATGTCTTCTTTTGCTCATTACAAAATTGATTCACCGGCTTTTGGTAAACACGAGGAGTTAGAATTCTTCTTCTGATGAAATAGTCATTCATTTTAATGGTACCTCATTTTCAAATAACTTTTTTCATGAAGACATTAAGATAATGTCACAGAGAAACTTAATTGCCAAAAAATCCTCTAAGCCCTCATTGTCTTTTTTTTTTTTTTGACCAGAAGCCCTCATTGTCATTAGACTATTCATGGAGACCGATTTGTTATTTGCATATTTTGGTGATTCTTATCCCAATGATTAAGTTTTAGTATAAAATGACAGAAATGCCTTTGGAATCGCTCCTTTTTCACTAGCATAACATTCACCAACAGCTTATGACCGGGAACCGGTGATTGGCTGGCATGACTGCTGGCCCCTTCTACCTACGATGTTACAATGCCAACTACCAAAGTGGGGAGTCTTGCGTTCGGCAATTTTATTTTATGTGCTTTATGGACGTACTGCCTTTTTTTTTTTTTCTTTCGATAACGAGATCGATAACTACGCATTGGGCCGTATAGTCGAATTCCCCAAACAGCCTTGTTGGTAAAAGTAATGAGGCACAGAAGGATGGCACAAATTCGTAAATAGGAACTTCCCGGGGGTATTTTATTGAACCCAAAATCAATGGCATAAAGTCGTACATACGACGGGTACTACAGTTCCCGTTCTTGCATCCAAATCTCTTCTGTCATCATCTCCAGACCCCAGTTGATCAATTTTCAGACTTCAGACGTTGTGGATTTCTCCCGTGGCTGATTTTCCATCAACAAGCCAACATGATGCACATGACCTTCTATTGGAGCAAAAAAGTGACCCTCCTCTTCGACTTCTGGAAAACCGATTCATGGACGAGTTACTCATTGAGTTTGCTCGCGTGTCTCCTGGTCTCTGCTTTCTACCAGTACCTGGAGAATCGCCGCCTTCGCCTGAAGGCTATTACATTTGAGACGCCTTCTTCTACGACGCCCCAGAATCAGATCCCACTCCTCCGACAGAATCTCACCGGTGACAAGGCCAAATTAGGGGTGAGGTTCGCCGGAGCGTTGCTGTTTGGGTTTAATTCGGTGGTCGGATATCTGCTGATGCTGGCCGTCATGTCCTTTAACGGAGGAGTCCTTGTGGCGATCGTGGTCGGTCTTGCTATCGGCTACTTCTTTTTCAGGTCTGAGGGTGACGAAGGAACTGTTCTAGTCGCTGACAGCGCCTGTGCATGTGCTTAGTAACTAAGACTTGGGAAAGATCGATGTTGCTTGAATTACCTATCTACGCTCACGAATTTATGTCAAATGTATCACACCTTTTTTTAGCCCTTTATTTTTCTGGGAATTTGAGATCGGTGTTGTGATGCGTGTGCGTCTTTTGGTGTCCATAAATATGTTTCGATCGCGGACTGCAAACTTTAAATTTTCATATGGAAATCATTTTGGAGTAGTTTGGTTTGGTTAGCGTAAGAAGGGCAATTTTTCCAAACGTAATTACGAGAAAATTGCACCCAACATTTTGGTGGGTTCAGAAAAAAGCGATTTGCCGCAAATGGAGTGTGTTTTTTCCCTGCTAATGAGAAGAGCGGTTTAAAGTTGGGAGCAGAAATGGGGAATACATATTTCATTTAGCAATTTGCAGAAGATGTTTCTGTGGCAGACTGCCGAATTGCTGCAAACTGATTAACGAATTTGCTTGTACGTATTCAGTACTTACCATTGCCGCGCGAGCCTCTGATCCCCCGGTCCCAGCATACGGTGTCAAAATAAAGAAGCTTCCTTCAAGTTGACGACGGGGCAGAGGCGCCCCACTCCATCGGCACAGCAGAAGACAGACAACATTGGATTTATCAAGAATGGACCGTAAATAATTAAATGATCGATTTTTCATAGGACATCCGATAACATTGTTGTTGAGAAACTCGAAATCTTTTATTAATCAAATTATAATGATAATGAAGATAATAAACTATCAGGTTAATCTTTCTCTTTTGGTGTGGAGGAACCTCCAAACACCACGTACACGTAGTAAACGGCTCTCTATATAGATGAGGATCTTAGATTAAGTGTAAGAAAACACTAATCTAACTCTGCTTACTAATTAATTAACCATTATTCCAGCACTGCCCTCT